GATTTAAACTAAGTACTGAAATCTGTGATGTGGTGTTTGGTATGGAATCATCGAAGGTATATTTTGGCATTGCCGTAATGACACGTTGTTTGTTCTAATAAAACCAAGCAAATATACCATGTAAAACATTTATGATGACCTCAAGGAGTCTACCTGGATAAATTGGAATCATCAAAGCACAACCGCTTCTTCAAGACACCTTTGAACACTAGATAAACAGTAAACACGCTCAAAATGCCTTTCCATGCTTCCAGGAAGTGTTTGAACACTGTGCTAACCCGTTTAAGAGACTTATTGCTGACCAGCTTGTTGTCAGTAGGAATAATAACAACAGCAGCTGGTATGACAACGAGTCTTGTGCTGCACGTACAGCAGCGAGACGATCACTTCGTGAATTACGTAACTCTAACAGTTAAATCAACAGACATAAAATATTGTGACTCACTGAAGTCATATAAAGAACTGTGCAAACAGAAATCAGTGAATGTGGTTAAACATTTTGTACAAACTTTAAAACAGTGCCTTAATCTCCAAAGACAGTAAATTGTTTTGGTCATATTTCAATTCTCTTAAATTTCATGTAATAATTTTTCACCCTGAGGTTGGACTCAACATTTCTATTTCTATTAGACTGTAATTTACTGTCTTTGGAGATTCAGGCACTGTTTAAAGTTAGGTATAAAGTTAGTTTATTGTACTTAATGAGACCTTCAAACCAGCGTTGCTAATCTATATCTATACACCTCTGCTTGAAAGATGATATGAACCGATTTTTTGAAGGTCTCACTAAGCATAATAAACTAACTGAATCCTGATTTCTCCACACTTCACCAAATCCATAATCAAACAATAATGTTTTAACCTTTAATGCCCAACAACTCAAGCCCTTATTTGCAAGGGACAACTGGTAACAATAAACATTTTTTAAGAATAACATGATCTTCTTGATACAATAGCCTTATCTAAAACTTTATAATCTTCACATAATAGTTAACTTCAATTGAATGCCGTCCTAACTCACCTCGTGCCACAATATTTGGTACAGATATATGTAAACATTACACCTTCTTACAGCAACGATCGTGAACTCTTTCCACATCAGGTGATGGGTGGCCATTGATCACAATAACTTGATAACTTATCTAATCTCTTTTGGAGACCTTTAACTTTACTGTACATTATTACTATATCATCTGCGAACAGAAGCATAAACAATTGCAGCATACCAATATTAATAGACCATTAATAATCCCCTCCCAGATGCTCAACTATGTCGTTGATGAAAAATGGAAAGAGAAAGGGAGACAACGTGCAACCTTGACGAACTCTAAAGATGCAATCTTGAACTGGATACAACCATTCCCAACAAAAACATAGGATTTTACCTTTTCATATAAGTTTATAAATGCGACCCTTAATGTAAAGTCTACCTTTATGCCAAGACAAGTATGTATTTATTACACTAATAACTTTGTACCGTTCTATAAAACACGAGGCAAACTTTGAAGTTTATCTGTCGTGTATACCTGTGAAAGTTTATGATGTTGCCCTTTCATCTCCCCGCTGCTCTAGTCATAAGTTATTAATAGAAGAAGGTAGGAAAATAGGTTTAAATAGAGAAGAAAGGTTATGGCCTTTGTGTGTAGTTAGGAACATAGAGTATCACTTTTATTTAGTGTGTCCATTTTATTATGGCCTTAGACGCTGTATCATTCCTGCATATTACTATACATTCCCTTTACAAAGAAAGGTTCAACAACTCATTGCATCTAAAAATACCCATGTATAATCACTGCTTGCAAAGTATGAAGTCCTAGGATTTAAATTACATCACGATTTCTACAGTCACATGTATGTTGTATATTTGAGGCGCTTCATTATGCCAATTTTGTTCCTTGTCAAAGGTCAACAGTGCGACAAACACTGCAAGGTCAATATAGGTGTCGCCTTGTCGCATTGTATCACCCGTCTTCCGACAAATGTCGCATCGTCACCTTCCTCCATTAATGATACCCGTGATAATACGTGAATTAATAAACTGTCTATAAATCGTTTTACCCCGACTCCAGTCGTGTCTATTTCTAACCCCAAGCTCTAAGATGAAATAATTTACATTGCTGTTCTCAAAGATGCTCAATTTGCCGCGCGGTGGAGAGTCCATCCTGCGTGACAGAAATCAAGGATCTTGGGTAAAATTCTCTGTACCATATATACACAATGAATAATGTATCGCAACACTTCATATTAACAATATGTTGCCATTAACCACAGAAAAGGAACTTAACCAAACCTCAGTTCAACTTACTGGATACATTAACCGTCAGGGAATGGCAGATCTAAACGCATTTTGTGTTTCTCTTCACTGTGGTTCTAGGACATTTTTAGGATCCCAATGCTCACGAAATCCCATAACTAACAATAACAGGGCACAATGACAATATCTGATGAAACTTCCACAAAATGAAATAACATCGCTGACCCTACTTCTCATTGACTATATTAGACGTTGAGTTTGACGTTGAAGTTTTCCGTCCCATTCTTCATGGGCAACCTCTCCCAATGCGGCACGATTTGTACTGGACTATCTCTCTTGTGTATTCTGCCACCCATAATGTCCCAAATTGTTGAACATTAAGCTTAGATGCAACCAAAAAAATGAAAAAAAGAAACATAATTAAAACACAATTATCATTTGTTCATGACATATAATATACATATACAAATAAACAAAATTATAAGCGTACAATCGCAAATCAAAAGTGCAATATTTTGTACTTGGGTTTACGTCCCTCTAAACGAAGCACCCGGGATATCGAACGCAGTAAGAGCGGGTGTGCGTGCACTTAAGAGTGTAACGAAGTCTTTCATTGGCTGGTTCATATGCCAATACACTCAGGGCTTTTTGTGTGGGTTTTGTAAATACATGCTCATTTTTTGTGTATAACGTTTTGCAATGAACAGACATCATAACATGTCATGTGTACAAGTATCACACCTGCCCGTCTGTGTAATTACATAATATGACAGAGACAGAACTCAGGCGCACGAGGCATAAATCAATGCGTTTTGTTTATGGCGTATAGCCAGATAGGTGTTAAGTTCGAATTGCATGTGGTCAGTGATCGAAGTTGTGTATTGCATATTGTCATTAGCAGACAGGCAGGCAGACACATATGTGTCAATAAAACAGACATTGAGTTTTGTCTGTGACAGAGGCATATCTATATCACAGTTAGAAATTCTGACAATGCTAAATAATGACGTTGCTTTTAAGTATCGAGCTTAGAAAGTGACTCGGTAAGAAGAACGTGTGGTGAAATGGTCAAATGAAATTATATAAACAGTTGAATCGGTAATCTACTGTCATAACATATAAAAAGCTCGCGGCTGTGAAATATCAACAAAAGTAAATACATTAGAAAAATAGCTCACATCAAAGCCTACTCCGAGTACGAAGGTTTTCCGTCTTGAAATGTCGAACGCCTCACTGGTTGACACATAGCTGCGTAGATCTAGATCCTTAACAAGGTTCTTTTATGTAACGAGTAGATTATTTACTAATTGTTGTTTGTGTACACAACAAAGATTAGACTACTCCTGCTCACGACCTTATAACCCGGGCATCCCGCCTCAAGCTGCGCGAACCTATTCACTGTGCATGCGCTATGAGCGCAGAACAGCACAGCTGTTGAAACCACTTTTCACCCCAGCTGGGGTGATTTTAGTGAATCGTTTGAACTCCGATTTCGCGTGTGTGTGTTTCATCGCGTTAGGTTTTAACTTTATTAGTTGAATTTGCATTTTTGATAATTTGTTACTGTAAGTCCATGGAGAAAGGTATCAGAATCTGCAAAGTTGTGTTTTGCGTTGCATGTAAACTTTAAGTTATGTTTTTGCGATAATTGCACTTAAAACATCCAACGTCACGAAGATTCGTTTCAGGTAAAGTGTGGAGTAGAATGTAAAGCATCAAATGGCGAGTTAAATGGGGCCTGGATTACAAGCACCTCTTTCAAAACATCTTAGAACATGTTTTATGTAAAGAGTCAACTACTTATACCTCTATAGCGTATAAGTGAGTGAGTGAGTGAGTTAATATTTAACGTCACATCGGCAATATTTCAGCCATATCGTGACGAGAAAAATTGAATTTATATCAACATTAATATCAATAAATTTAGAACATAAAGAATCTGTCATCGAAGGACAGTAAATCTACTAGAGGATCACAGCTCTTAATTTAAAACTAGCACGCTCTCATAAAAAGATATCACTATAAACAACAATACAATATAAACACGGGCTGTAGATCACCAGCAACTGAATCTATAGCGTATAAAGGAGCGTCACATCCGCGAAAAAACCCAAAAACATTGTGAGCCACCAATCTGCATTAATCAAGAAGCTGGTTGGGTCACCCAAAATTCAAAAGGCGCCGTTATGCACTGTGAAGACTTGCGTCCCAGAAACCTATTGGTTCGAATTCCGGGTCACCCCGATTATACTTTGTTTGGTCAGCACCATACAATTGCCATTAGTGGAAAAGGCCCGGGACCTGAATATTCAAGGCCTCAGTAAAGCTTTCGAAAAGCTTTGTTGCAGACATGTGGATGACATTTTCAAATTGGAGAACGATGCAATTCCCCATTTTGAATTTTGATTTTTTTTCAGGTCAACAATTGATAACCGTTTGCTTATGTTTATGAAGAGTGTCACCGTTAGGGCAGAAAACACTCACCATTTCAAAAACACTGGGTATAACCAATATCTGATTGTGATTCATGTATGCGTGCTCATTGTAGCCGAAATCATACAATAGCCTCTGCTCTTGGCAGAGATATCTTGAGGATGTGGAAAAAGCTATTATGCAGGCTTTCATCCCAAATTAAGCAGGCCGTGATATAACTGGAATACTATTTAAAGTGGCGTTAAAAAATACTCACACACTCACTAACTCATTAAAGGAACTGTATTTTGTAAAGTGTTTGAGAACAACTTACGTCATTATAGTGTTTGAAGTGTCCCTCACACACGCCGGCCTTCAGGTATACACTGTGCAGATAGCAGAGTCGTGGCGCTGTTGTGGTTACCGAAAACGATTTACACCAGTCGTGTCCGGCACATGCCACAGCACATTCAGTCTGCGTCAGCACCGTCACTGACGTTGATGTGGTAATGTCGTCACATGTCGTAATTCTTGTGAACTCTTTTGTCACAACTTCTGCAGAGCCTCCAACGAAGGTTGCGGAGAGGAGAAGGATAGTTGATAATAATGTCTTCAGTGACATATTGAGTGTCACATCGTACACATTTCTATAGGCTAAACTTGCCGCAGTTTACAACCTTCAAACTGAAATACAAACACGAACGTCTTTACATGAAGACATTCCTCGTTTAATGGCGGCCTAGGCTTATCGCATAGGGACGCGACGGCCAACATGCAGCGTTCCATTGATTATTTTGATGGCATGGGCGGGTTGCTGATAGAGGCGAAAGAAACACCTGAGTACATAAAAAGTGTTAATGAATTACTTAACATTTATGAGAGAAACCTCACATCCAGATCGTTATAACACTGCATAAAAATTAACTCGCACTCAGATAGCCGTTCATCTACACGTGTAAGACAGATACATTACTCTCAGATAGTCGTTCATGTACACGTGTAGGACAGATACCTTACTCTCAGATAGTCGTTCATCTACACGTGTAAGACAGATACCTTACTCTCAGATAGTCGTTCATCTACATGTGTAAGACAGATACCTTACACTCAGATAGTCGTTCATCTACACGTGTAAGACAGATACATTACTCTCAGATAGTCGTGGGGCGGTGGAGTAGCCTAATGGTTAAAGCGTTGGCTCGTCACGCCGAAGACCCGGGTTCGAATCCCCACATGGGTACAATGTGTGAAGCCCATTTCTGGTGTCCCCCGCCGTGATGTTGCTGAAATATTGCTAAACGCGGCGTAAAACCAAACTCAGTCAGTCAGTCAGGTAGTCGTTCATCTACACGTGTAAGACAGATACCTTACACTCAGATAGCCGTTCATCTACACGTGTAAGAGAGATACCTTACACTCAGATAGCCGTTCATCTACACGCGTAAGACAGATACCTTACACTCAGATAGCCGTTCATCTACACGTGTAAGACAGATGCCTTACACTCAGATAGCCGTTCATCTACACGTGTAAGACAGATACCTTACACTCAGATAGCCGTTCATCTACACGTGTAAGACATATACCTTACACTCAGATAGCCGTTCATCTACACGTGTAAGGCAGATACCTTACTCTCAGATAGCCGTTCATCTACACGCGTAAGACAGATACCTCACACTCAGATAGTCATTCATCTACACGTGTAAGACAGATACCTTACACTCAGATAGCCGTTCATCTACACGTGTAAGAGAGATACCTTACACTCAGATAGTCGTTCATCTACACGTGTAAGAGAGATACCTTACACTCAGATAGTCGTTCATCTACACGTGTACAGTTCATTTTATTATTCTAAAAATGAACGACTAGTGAATGTTGTTTGCGGGTTTTTGCTTTGTTCTCTCTGACCATTCCATCAGTCCCGGATTTTGTATGTGATACTTAACCCTCAGTGTTTGCTCATCATTGTCGTGCATGTTAATGTATATTTCCAGTATACGTTACAGGCACATTATATTTCTTTCTGTCACAAACACATAAATCAACAAAAACGCTGGGTAACTACCACTAGTCGAACGTTGTTTTGTTTTTTTGATGTAAAATCCTTGTTCCTGTTTATTCCTTATCTAGTCATCACACTGCGATGATGTCACAACTCGAAGTATTTACGTGGGTCCCTTAGACTTCGGCACGACTGTGTTTGACTGTATTCTATTCACGTTTACATAACTGTGTAATGAACGAAACAACACAGACACTTTTAATTAGGAACCTGCCAGAAACACGAAATAGCTGCAACTTTATTGCCCATGGCGTAATTTGGGAAAATATCGATGTTTTGATGGCTGTGATTGAAGTAAAACTCAAGCAACCATAGGGTGTATATATCGATCACCTAGGTTAGTATTTTCATTATCTACGAAGACTCCAGAAACCGTTTGTGTAATGTAAATGATGTCTAATCACAAATATTCGATTCTGCCATTCCATCCCTTCTTTCATAATTGTGTTTTGAACATTTCACTGAGAGGGTGTTTTCCGGCTTTCATAAAGCGCAGAGGCAAATGAAATAGCCCACCAGCTTTCAAAACTCAAATATCCAGATCATAGCTCTGAGTTACGTGGGCGGTGGGGTAGTCTAGTGGTCAAAGCGTTGGCTCGTCACGCCGAAGACCCGGGTTCGAATCCCCACATGGGTACAATGACTGAAGCCCATTTCTGGTGTCCCCCGCCGTGATATTGCTGGAATATTGCTAAAAGCGGCGTAAAACCAAACTCAGTCAGTCAGTCAGTCTGAGTTACGTTATCAGCCAAGAGCCATTAATCTAACTATAGTGTTCGTGTAAAAGGTAGGGGGTGGATGGATTGGCGGTGTGTGGTCGTTTGGAAGCTTGAAATAGAGTCAGATAGCCATTGGTGAGTTGCCCTTCAAACTGGTTGTCATCACGCTGAATACTTGGGTATTATCAAAAGAGACCACTCACTCATCTGCAACGATCAATAAGATATGTCACTCACAGCCGCCCACAAGGGTATGGTATTTGTGCATTGCGTATTAGAAAGTTTGTAAATTTGTTCTAGTGTGCTATGTAAACGTATAATCCTGACTTAAGCCTGTTTGACCATAACAAAGATAGAACAGGTTGCCAAGCTGTGAATAGTAAAGACATTAAGTCAAAATATTCCAGGTAATTTCAACACAAAGGGGCGTTGACTGCGGGAAGAGCAAGACGCCTCTGGGTATTGAGCTGATGCTCAGAACAGTTGTTATGCCTTTCATTAGATGACAAGGAACGTTGTTCCTGCAAGATCCCGATTCTTCACATTCGTCTAAGTGAAGCGTTATCTGTGAAAGAAGCCGAAGGGTAAAGATGCTAAATAAGAAATCTCCATATGGGTTTCCAGATATAACTGAAGTGTACATACAGAATACTCCAGAAGGGGGTGGTCCACATCTGGGGTCCTGAAGGGCGTGGAGCTAACAAGACATTCTGCCCGAAGCTGCACAGTGTATGTGAAGAGATGAAATTACGAACGTGCAATCTGGTATTATGAAATATATGGGACTTTGGTATCTGGGGCCTTTTGGCTATGTGGCAAATATGAGTACTTGGTATCTGGGGCTTATGGCTATGTGGCAAATATGAGTACTTGGTATCTTGGGCTTATTGCTATGTGGCAAATATGAGTACTTGGTATCTGGGGCTTATGGCCATTTGGCAAATATGAGTACTTGGTATCTGGGGCTGCTCTTAACCAACAACCTATGCTTATTTCACGGTATATTCTGACAGAAAGATACTTTAAACCTTCAGTATGGCACACAATGCTGTCTTTATTAACCTATACATGCGTGTTGTAACGTAGCAATGTGTAGTTCCGTTGAGAGTTAGTGAGTGAGTTACGATTTATAGTCACATCGGCAATATTTCAGCCATGTCGTGACTTTAACAAATTACAAATTCATAATAAATGCAATTAAATTATAAAAAAAAAACTGTCGACGAAGGACAGTAAAATAACTAGATTATCGCAGATAGAGACTGTAACTGTAAAATTAAACAAGTTTTCTGAATTATGTATCGGTAGTTTGGCTCATATTTAAGCCTTTCTATAAAAGTTCTTCCTAATTCCTAGTCCTCTTGTCTAAATTGTGAATAATTTATGTTTTATATTCATGGTTACGTATAGTAGAAGTGTTGTTTAATCTCTTCCCAAACTAGATATATACTACCCATCAAAAGTTTAGACTCACTTAAAGCACTTAGTATATGTTATGTACATATTTATGGTTATACCGAAGATGAATTTCTCCACTAACTTTGGGGGAACCAAGTGCAAACCTTATGCAGATAAATTGCACGAGGATCATGCATGAAATTACTGAAAAGCATGTGCAATGATCGTGCATGTGAACAGTTGTGTTTTGCTGTAAAGGTTTGTTAAGAATTCGCCAATTTTCACCGAGTTTCATCATGTATTGAACTCATGATTATAATCTTTTCAACGTTACGAATTTGTTTTACAATGCTTCAGGCCATTTGTAAACAGTACCTTTAAACAGTATGGAATATTTTGCAAAATCTATTTTGAACAGTTGACTGAAATAAGTGGCTACACTTACACCAGTGTGTCTAAACTTTTGATGGGTAGTATATCTTGGGAAGGTTTAAATATTCCGTCTGTGAATGGGTCATGTATTCTACAAACTAACAGATGGAAGCGACTCAGAGGATTCAGAAATCGCTGCACGTAATAAGGATATGTTTATATAAGGAAAATGTCTAAGGGTGCTTATTACGTTTGTTTCGACTGAGTGAGGCAATGTTTTGAAACGATTGGACAGTGGCATATTTATATTTTAAGTAGCGGAGATAAAGAATTCGAAACTGCGCGTTTTCCAAATTTAAATAACAGGAAAGTAATCGAAATAAATAGCATATAATCGAAGTAGCAAGTAGCAAATTGAACTAATGAAATAAAGTTCTGGGAAAAAAAAGTCATGGATCCAAACTGTAAAAATTAGGATTTCGTAATAAATACATCATATAAAATAAACAAAGTTTACATGACAGGAATTCTCAGAAAAAATCAAAATACACATGAGTACCCTATACAACTCTAAGTTAACGACTCATGATGTTGATCACTGGATTGTCTGGTACTCGATTATTACAGACCGCCGCCATATAGCTTGAATATTGCTGAGTGCGGCGTAAAACTCAACTCACTCACTCACTCACTCACTAAGTTAACGAGCAATATCCAATTCTTGTTGCTTCACGTCGGAGTTTTTTAATCAATCCCCGTTTAATAATTATATCCCACTTTGACACAGTATTCTGTCCAAGACATTGTTTATGCTCCTTAATCCTCTGCTCTAGGCAAGGTCAATTCAAGCACAATACTTGAACGAACCTTTATTACCAACTGGCAACAAAGGCACCATAGAAACTGTCCGTATTCTCGTCAAGCGATGGAAGATACCAAAGTTAATCTTACTTCTCATCTAATGTGTCTATTAAACACATTTGACCGTTAAGTAGCATTAACAAAACAGTTTCAATGATCTTCCTACATATGACATGGCACTAAAAATAGATTCATTCAACGCGTGTCAATGCATTGGTTCCTGTGAAGCTATAAGATATCAATAATAGAAAAGAATAGAATAGAATAGAATAATACTTT